CTTTTTTTAAATGTGATTTTTAAATAATTTTATTAATAAGCCTGGAGAAAGTTAAAAGATAAAACCTTTTAAAATGTCTCTGGGCAGGAGAGATGGCCCAAAAAACAACTAAGAATCTGTTTGTGTTTTGAAGAGATGGTGTAACACAGCCTACGCTTAGCGCAAAAGCATGATTCTCTGTGGCCATGCAGCTTTGCTCCCAGCACACCAATCTGTACCATTTAAAACTTTGTGTGCACCTTAGCAGTTCCCAGCATAGATGTCTGTTTGGGTCATTACAGTAATCTATTATGTTCTTATTCTCAGTTCCAGAATTTGGCTTCATGTTCTTATTTGTATCTTCCCAAGTTCCTACCACAATATTTTATATGAAAAGCATTAAGTACTTTGTAAATCAATGAAAAAAATATTTAAAAGCATCAGTGAGAGAGACAGGCAGAGCAGAGAGACAGTGGCCCTCTTGTAACCCTTGAAAATCACAAACTTTTGTTTTAGAAAAAGTCTTTGGGTTGGGGGAGGCAAAGCAGCACAGACACACAAGAGCCATTGAATCTTGGAGTGTAAGAACACGTACATTCATATCACAGCAAGATCATAAAAAACAAAACACCAGAGGCCAAGTCCACTGGTATCCGTTGACAGATCAGCAAAATGAAACAGCTCCCCAGATAGCGCTACTTTGGTAAAGGTTTCAGCCAGCAAGCCTCACCCAGGAAGCTTCCCAGAAGCTTTCTAGATTTTCATCCTTGGAGCGGAACATATAATCGGGAATCACAGATATCCAGGGAAACCTCTTACATGAAACATAACGACCAAATTAAGCAGTGAGGAGAGAAAACAAAACAACCTGGAGGAAGCAGACCACCAAGGAGTAACTCTTTGCGTTCGTATACATATGGGAAGAAGGTACTGCAGCCATGAACCAGGAGGGAAAGAAGTTAATCAAATCAACCCATAGGAAGCACAAAAGAGAAAAGCCAATATCTGAATAAGAAGTTCCTAAGAAAGAAGACAGAAAAGAAATGGAGAAAGAAGCCTATGAATTAATTTGAGAAGTTTTGGGTGGAGGTTATAATTAAAAGCCAACTAATGGTCCAGAAAAATAAATTAAAACAGACTCCTTTTAAAGTGTGCACGTGGGGAGAAGGGAGAATAGGTAAAAAATTATGACAGCTTCAGACTTCTCAACAGCCTAACACCATCAGTAAAAACACAATGGAGCAATGCTATAAAATCTGGAAGGAAAATTACTTCAAAATTAGAATCCTACAGCCACTCCAATTGTCACTACAGCAGCAAGACGGAAAAAAAAAAAATGTTTTCAAACTTGAAAGTCTAAAATACCTTTGCTATTGACAAACACATTCAGGATGTACCTAGAGGATGTGCTCCAAAAAGGCAAGAGGAAGAAAACTAAGCAAGTGAAAGCTAACGTCTAAATAATAGAAATCTGACACTAGCAGTGTGAAAAAGGCGACAGTGAAGTCACCCAATATTACCTGTGCACCAGCAACAGGAGTGAAAGTTTTCACTGTTAGAAGAAAGTCCTAAGTTATCTAATGTTTTAAAATGTCAATTTAAAAAATTTGAAGTGGAATTATCATAAATACATAGAAAAATCAGCAAATGGAAACCTAACCCAGAAAAAAAAAAAAAAAAAACACAGAAAGATCATAAACTTGTTGAGGAAGAGTTACTTTCATATAGTTACAAACACCAATTTAGTCAAGCTTTGCAAAAGTCAGCATACAGAAAAGACAGATGAGATGGGAGTAGGCAGAAAACAGGGAGCACTAATTTCAAATGTTCCCTAGCAGAAACTGACAGATAATGCCTTAAAAAAAAAGAATCAATGTATAAATATTGCAAAAAAAAATGCATTTTTATATTGGTATAGAAATAAAAAACAAAATGAGCAGTTATATAAATATATTGTCTCTGAAAAAAAGGAAATCTGGTCCAGGAGAGAAAGGGAATTAATTGGCTTTCCCAACTAACCCTATACAACTGTCTTGATTTAGGACCCAAGGTGCTCAGTGTCACACAGCATGGACAAGAAAGATAAAATATAAGATCTTTAAATTATACCTTCAAATATGGTTAGTTTTCAAAAGACCAATCGATATAAAAACAAAGATGCTGAAGCCATTCTTTATGTCTCCCACCCCAGAAGTTTGTGACAGACCAATGGAATCCAATTTAGAGCCATTTAAAGATGTCTAAAGCAGTGGGAAGCCACAGCATGCTGGTTGGTCAAGTTCAGCACACAAACAAAAGGAAATGTTTCTTCTGCTGGGCTTTTGGATTTTCAATAGACTCTGCCTAAAACCTACGTATTCAGTCCACCCTAAAATCCACCAATTTTTACTTCCTAAATTCTCTCACCATTCTTAGTTCATCTCCTCACTTACTATTACCATCTAGGATCATATCAACAGTAGACACGGAAAAACAAACTTCATTTACTATTTGAATCCCAATATGGTATCGGAACCTTCAATAATTCAATTAATATACCACGAAATAAAAACTGCCAGTGTGCCAGTTACAGAGTCCTTTTATATCATGAAAACTATTGCTGAGATGCAGGGGCCAAGACACTAACCTGAAGAGCTAGGAATGATAATAGTCTTACCTGTAAATACTGATCACTGTTAGTTGAAAATGTATAAACAAATTTTGTTTTGGTTTTGTTTTTTGAGACAGTTTCTCTGTGTAGCCTTGCCTGTCCTGGACTCCCTTTGTAGACTAGACTGGCCTCTAACTCACAGAGAGGCCTGCCTCTGCCTATCTGAGTGGTGGGATTACAGGCATGCACAACTGCGCCCAGCTCGATTTTGTGTAAACAAAATTTGAAGAACAAACAAATCAGTAAAAAGAATCAGTTTTCAGCCAGGCAGTGGTGGGGTTAATACCAGTGCTCAGAGGATCTCTGTGAGTTCAAGGCTAGTCTTATCTACAAAGTGAGTCTAAGACAGCTGCACAGAGAACCTTGTCTCAAAAAAACAAAAACAAAACCAAAAAGAGCCAGTTTTTAAATAAAAATTACTTCAGTCTAAAGTTCATAGGTTAAAAACAATGACTCCAGTTATTCTACTTCTGTCAAGCTACAGCAGCCTGTATAGTTTAATGATAAGATTCAACTATTAAAACAGGCATCCTTTAGAACAGATACTCCTTAACGCAATGTTTTTGTCCTTGCAGATATATGCTTCTACTAGATTTAATTTTATTTGTTGGGCATTGTTGGGCCTTATGTAAGCTAAGCAGTGAGCTATACCAAACCCAGTATTTTAAATATTATTAATATTTTTAATGAGATTGAGGGGCTGCATTTTAAAGGTACAGATTTGATCAATAATTATACTCAAATACATAAAAAGTTGCCTATTAATTTATTAAGTGGTTTGGGATGTTATTCAACTCTTAAAAATTGGAAGAGACTATCTGAGGTCATATCCAAGTGAACACAGCAGTTCGCTCTAAAATATTCCTACTCTATTCTACCATTACCCATTGGCTGCACTGCAAATACCAAACAGATCTACTTCTATGCTTTGCCTTTTGCCTTTAGACTCTTCTACCTGTGGCAAACACAGCACCTTTTTTTGTGTGTGTATGTGTAGTTTTTTGTTGTTGTTTTTTTTTTGAGACAGGGTTTCTCTGTACTGTAGCCTTGGCTATATGGACTCACTTTGTAGACCAGGCTGGCCTCCAGCTCACAGAGATCCGCCTGCCTCTGCCTCCCAGAGTGCTGGGATTACCGGTGTGTGCCACCTCAACCGGCTAAGAGAATGTCTTAACAATCAAACCAAACTGCTCCTGCCAGAAAGTCAGTGTTTTTACATATAACCCCCTACAACGTGGCTCCGAATAGCACTCAAGACCTGCCTTCATGTCACAATATATTTCCTGCACCCTGGGACCTCCTTTTCTCAATCAAGGACCTTTGTCTTTTTTTTACACTTTTGCCTATAGTGCCCCTCCAACTTGAGCTTTCCCACTTGGAAGTTCCCCCATTCTACCTTCCAGGATTAGCTCAACTGAACTCCTAATAGAGATGCCGGCTTCAACACACACAGACACAACCCCCCTCCCCCCCAAAAAAAGAAACAAAAACCCTTCCTTCTTGAATGTCTCTCCCGCATAACTCTACATTCTTCCAAGAGATAAAACAATTCTGTAAGAGAACCTGGCAGCAATGTCACTTCTCCCCAAAATAAAAATTAAAAAAAAAAAAAAAAAAGTAACTCATCAACTAAACTCAACTTATCTTTCCAAAAACTGAAATCCACTTACTGTCTTAAATTTCTTGACTGATCAGGGCTTAAGCATAAACATTGATGTTGATTTAGACTGGATTTTAACTTTTTGGTAACTTTTTGGGGGTTTGGGGGCAGGAGCAGCAGGCAGAACTTAAGGCAACGAATTTTTTCCCTCCTCAAAACAACACACTCCTATACAACAATAAACATTTGAGGGGGTTCATCCTCTCCTTCCCAATCAGACTATAACCTGAACAACCAGGAGAAGACTCCATTCCTAACTCTCTGCAAGGCATTACAGTCTTCAAATTACAAATCTAAGAGAGGACAAGAGAGCAACTCCTGAGCGCGCAGTGAAGGGCAAGCCAGATGTTTTCAAAGTACCACAACTGGAAGGGTGCACAAGGCGCAATAACCAGTTAGGTCTAAAAGAAACCTGAGGTATTATCTGCCAAAGCTGAAACCCCTAAAGATGTTTTAAGATGCTCGTCCAAGGTCAAGGCGCCCGTTAGTGGTCAGGTTAGTGTAGGCAGCCAGATCGTCCAATCCCACCCTCATTCCCCCCAAATCTTGTCGGTTTCGCAGACTGCGCGCCAGGAGTGCCAAATCCGCAGGGAGGCGGGAGCAGTGCAGACACCGGGGAAGAGAGCTAGACGGCGGGGAAGGTGGGTCACTCCTCCCACGTGTCTGGAAGCCTGAGGTCCACCCGCGTGCGGCCGGACTTGCAGCGCTCACCTGTCCGGGGCCCAGAGGCGGGTGGTGCGATCGCGGGACACAGACACAAAGGCCCCCGGCGGGTACAGGCAGCACACCAGGCCCCTCACGTCCAGTTCATGGCCCAGGAGCGAGCAGCTCAGCCGGTATCTGGCCGTGCCGCTCGCCATGGCCAGCGTGGGTCCGGAGCCCGGCTCCCGGGCACGGCACGAGACTCGTCCACACGCCCGAGCCGGCGTGCGCCAGGCTGCGGCCCGAGACCCGCCTGCAGGTGAGGGGCGCGGGCGACCGGAAGAGCCCGTCAACCGGTGCGGAAGGACCGCGAGGGAAGGGGCGCGCCGATCGCACTGAGTGACACAGCAACCCTAACATGCACACCGGAATTCATCATCCAGCGCAGCCCCCGGTGACGCAGAGTGTGTGCGTCGGGCTGCTGAGGCGCCGCGGGCCGAGGCTCTCTCCCCTTCTTCGCCCTAGATCACGGGCCTACCAAGGGACCGCGAGACCCTGGAATTCTGCCCGGGCGCCGCAGATCCAGGTCCTGTCAGAGCCGGGTACATTTCAGAGAACAACCGAAGATTCGTAGTAGTGTAGGGGGCCAAGCCGGAACTACAACTCCCACAATGCCGCGCGTCCCAGGCGACTCGCCGGCGCGCTGAATCCGGATGTTTTAAATCTTGGTGCCCCCTCCTGACTCCTGGGAATGGTAGAGTGAAATTGCTTGTTTATATTACGATTTTTTTCTTTTCTTTTCTTTTTTTCTTTTTTTTTTTTTTGGCTGACTTTCTGCATGCCTTCGGAGAGTCTCGAGATTTTCATAATTGTTTTTCATTTAAAATGACAGAATCTGAAGCCGGAGCGGGAACTTTTAATCACTTGCCTTCATATCAAGCTACTCCTGTGTTCTTACCCATAAATCAGATTTTGCAAATAAATAATGATGTTCAAGGTTTATTCTTTCCTAACATGACCACCATTTGCCCGAGGTTTGGCTCAGTAGTTCTAAAGTGAAGCAGAGAATGCCTTTAATTGATTCATTTATTTATAAGGTCTCACAGTAGCTCGGGCTGGCCCCAGACTCATGGTTTTCTGCTCCAATCGCTGAGCGCTGAAATCACAGTTGAAAATACATAATTTTAAGCAAACCTCCATGGTGCTGCTAGGTGTCGCACTATATTGCTTTACATTGTAGTTGTGAGACCCCAATAGAAGGTGAGGCCCCATTTGAGACCCCACTGAAGTCTGAAAGAAGGTCCAGACCTACTCCATGGCAGGCATCAGTTTAGCGTCAAAAGGAGCAGGCCTCAGTTTCCATTTACCGAAACTGAGTTAACATTTACTGGAAACACACACACACACACACACACACACACACTAATGGGCAGCCAATCAAAGGCCACCTGACCCTCTGCCGGACCCTGTGCTGGACCATCTGTCAGGAAAAAGGTTGCTTAACTCATGACCAGCCCAAAAGTTTGCTGATCACCTCAAAGTTGCCCCCCGCTTTTTTGCTCGTGCTTATAAATTTGAATGTTCTAATCATATTAAAGATTACCTAACCCACCCCGAAATTCTTCCTGAGTACCTATAAAAGAAACCTGTGAACTCAGTTCCGGGTTCCTCGCCATTTTGCTTTGCATAGGTGGGGACCCCAGTGCACTGGATTTCTGCAGAATAAAACTTGCTCTTTGCTATTTGCATGCGATTTGAGTCAGGGGTGTTCTCTTCAGCGAGCCCTGGACCTTAACATAGTAAATTTTACCTTCCTTACGGCACGGCATCCACCATACCACAAACCTTTCTTCAGTCGCCAAATCTAATTTACATTTTTTTTTCTTAAAACTCATTCTAGGCTTGAAATCATTATTCATTATTATTGAAATCATTATGTGTGTGTTTCCCTGATTTAAGCCCTGAAATGTAGGACATTTTAAAACCTCTTCTGCCACTATACTCACTTAGTGGCTGAGCTTTCCCCAAATTATATTTTCAAACTGAATATTTCCAGCTGTCTATTAGAAATTTCTTCCTAGTGGCTTACATTAAACATTCTCTAGTTTTTCTGCCCCTTCTCTCCAGTCAGTTCTACACATCAAAGTAAAATTTTCTAAACACTAGATTTAAGCTTTATTCCCTTTGTTCAGTAACCTCAATTGCTTTCCATTCGTAAGAGTACACTGTTATATAAGACCTTTCATATTTCCCTAATTTATTTTACTAAAGTCATTTCTGTTTGGTGTGTGTCTGCATCAGCCATGTTGAATTTTTTTAACCTTTCCCTGAACACACCAAGATGTTGAAGTTGGTATTTCTAGGTTCCTAAACAGACAAGGAAACCCTAATACTACGTGAGGCTAAAACATGAGATTGAAGTTTAGTGAGTTCTAAGCCATTCTGGCTACAGGAAAAGCTCCAGTCTTAAGAAACACACACACACACACACACACACACACACAACCATAATTAAACTGTAATCTTTTCTCCTGTCATAGTTCAATACCAGTATATCTTCTGTATTTTCCTAATTCCTCTTTGGGCCAATACTATTTTATTTATTGCCAATTTAGTGTTCATGATGTTGTGATCTGCATAGCTATCATTTCTACAGATTAGATTTTCTTCAGGACATTTCATTGTTTTTCAATCTTTTTGTAGGTGTTAGCTTGTTTTTGTTTTTTTTTTCTTTTAATTTTTTTAAAAGAAAGATTTATTTATTCATTCATTCATTATGCATGCCTGCGTGTGTGCCGCCTGCATGCCAGAAAAGGGTACCAGATCTCATGAGGGATGGATGGGAGCCACCTTGTGGTTGCTGGGAATTGAATTTTTACTGTATTCTGTGTGTGTGTGTGTGTGTGTGTTTGTGTTTATGCAGTGGTGTGTGTATGTGTGCGTGTGTGTGCGTGTGTGTGTGCATGCACCAGAATACATACAGAGGTGAAAGGACAACTTGCAAGAGGTGGTTTTCACTCTCTACCATGTGACCCTGAGGCTCTAACTCAGGTCCTCAGGCTTGGTGGAGGTGGCAAGCGGCTTTACCCACTCAGACATCTCAGCAACCCTGGTTTGTTTTCTTAAACAGTCTCCTCACTGCCGCAAATTCACAGCACTCTTCCTATCTCAGCCTCTTGAGAGTTGTGATTTTAGGGGTGAGCCTCCACTGATACTCTGAGGTTGAGGAGACTCGACTTTGATCCTCCATCTTAACCATCAGATATACTGCTGTATATAATAGGTCCTCAGTGGATATTTTCTCACTATAGTATATTCTCTAAAAAATTTCATGTAGTGTCTCATTTCATCCTCACAGCAATCCTACAAAGTAGGAAATATAATCTCTGTTTCACAGATAAGAAGTTCAGCATTGACTGAAAACAAAAGTGGCTATTGGCCTAAGGGGTCCCTAGCTCCGAAGCCCAACTCAACAGTAACCAGAAACTTAATCTTAACTAATCAAAATCAGAAACGGGGGCTGGAGAGATGGCTCAGTGGTTAAGAGCACTGGCTTCCAGAGATCTGAGTTTAGTTCCAAGCACCCAGGCCATGGCTCACAACCATCTCTAACTCCAGGTCTAGAGAAGCAGTACCCTCCGCTGCCCTCTCCAGGCACATGATTCATATAAATATGTGTAGGTGCTCATACACATAAAAATGAATCTTAGAATAATTTTATATTTTTAAATGTTTTTATATGAATGTTTTGCCGGCATGTATGTGCACTTGCATGACTGGTATTATTGGAGGCCAGAAAAGGACATCAGATATCCTGGAACTGGAGCTACAGGCATATATGAGCCTCAGCCAGAGCAGGACCTGAGCCATCTCTGCAGATTCAATAAGTAGACTTTTTTTTTTTTTTTCCAGAGACAGGGTTTCTCTGTGTAGTCCTGGCTGTCCTCGCTTTGTAGACCAGGCTGGCCTTGAACTCACAGAGATCTGCCTGCCTCTGCGTCCCTGAATGCTGGGAACATAGGCATGTGACTCCAGGCAATAAATAGAACTTTAGGAACACACAAAAATTGGTCAAACCTTCCTCTGTGACTTTACACCTTAAAGAATCATGTGTTCATAATCTTGCTCTTAGAAAGTTTTCCCCAGGGCTGGAGAGATAGTTAAGAGCACTGGCTGCTCTTCCAGAGATCCTGAGACCAGTCTGGTCTGTAGAACAAATTCCAGTACAACCAGGGCTACACAGAGAAACCTTGTTTAAATAAATAAATAAATAAATAAATAAATAAATAAATAAATAAATAAATAGATAAATAGATAAATAGATAAATAGATAAATAAATAAGTAGATAAATAAATAAATAAATAGATAGATAAATAGATGGATGGATTGATAGATAGATAGATAGATAGATAGATAGATAGATAGATAGATAGATAGTAAAAATAGAAAGTCGGAGTCTGCAGATATGGCTGAGAGGTTAAGAGCACAAGCTGTTCTTCCAAAGGTCCTGAGTTCAATTCCCAGCAACAACATCATGGCTCTGAGAGACTACAGAATTAAAACTTAGTGTTTTGGGGTGTTGGTTTAAAGTTTAAAGCACAAGCCTGAACAAAGGCCAGCCAGGTGGAGACATGTCAGGCCACCTTTGGGGAGGAACCAGCTTAACTGCATTTTTTCCTGCCCACTAGAGATGCAGTTGGTAGGCAATCCACCAGACAGCCAGGCCAGAACCTTTTATGGTCTTAGTGCCTAAAGTAAACCAATCATTTCAAAAGTCGGTTTCCCTTACCCAGTCATGTAAGCCAAGGCATGTAACTGCCGCTTGGAGGTTTTCCCTTTGAAAACTTTGTTCCCCTGGACCCCCACCCCCCCACCCCATTTCTCTCCTGCTTCCACATGAAGTTTTGCAACCCAGGCTCCAACACGGATACAATAAACCCTCATTTATTTGCAGTGGAGTTGATTCCTGGTATTCCTTGCGGGGGGAGGGGGAGGTGTCTCACGAACTGGGCATAACAGCTCATACCCATCTATAATGAGATCTGGTGCCCTCTTCTGGCCTGCTGGCTCACATGCAGGCAGAATACTGTATGAATAATAAAGAAATAAATCTTTTTTTAAAAAGTCAAATGAAGTTACATATTATAATTTTTGTCCTAAGTGTGGTGCTTTCAGTATGACTTTGTTTCTAAAAAAGCCTGAATTCAGCAAGATGTGATGGTGTTCATGTTTAATCTTAGGTGTTTATATTTAATCTTAGGATTTAGGAGGCAGAGGCAGGCGAATTTCTGAGCTTGAGGCCAGCCTGGTCTACATAGAATTCCAGGACAGTCTCAAAAATAGCAAAAGCCTAAATTCATTATAGAAAAACTTATGTAAAAGATATGAAAATGAAGATGGGGCCAATATAGACCAAGGCTGAAAATTTG